ATGCTACGAGAAATATGGAATGTCATTGATCAAGGCGAGATTAGACATCTGGTTTCGAGTATGAGACGTCGATGTGAAGCCGTTATTAGAAGTAGAGACGGAAATACGAGATATTTATATTCTTTAATGTTGGATATTTTTAATAAAATTTGAAATTTGCCGATAAACTTCAGTGAATTAAATATTGTACCACTTTAATTTAAATTATCTTAATTTGGAGGGGCAGGAGGCTGGGGGTTGCAGTTAAAAACTAACTTTTTTCGCAAACTTTAATTTAAATTCTGCTTTTCAAATTAAAAGGAAAAAACTTATTATTACTCTTGCACCCTGTATATACTCAAAACATTTGAAAAAATGTTTTAATAAAGGCATCATAACCAAAGGATAAACCTACAATTTAAAACAAAAACTACCAAATTCGGTTTGACGGTTCGCAAAAAAATCAACTTTAAAATTGTGGCAAATTTTTAGTGGTGCGTTAAATTTGACTTTGTTGGATAAACATTTTTTTTATAAAAGCTCAACATTGCTGCTTCATTATAGTAAATGATAATTTTATTAACAGTAAAAAAAGTTTCTTCTGTAAATAAAAATAGTCTCATTACTTTGACAAATCGTAGGTTTTTGTCCCAATAAGACACTGAAAATTTAATCAAAAAGGTTCCTTAGATGGTACATTTTTTTATAGCCATTACTACCTAAGGAACCTTTTTGATTAAATTTTCAGTGTCTTATTGGGACAAAAACCTACGATTTGTCAAAGTAATGAGATTATTTTTATTTACAGAAGAAACTTTTTTTACTGTTAATAAAATTATCATTTACTATAATGAAGCAGCAATGTTGAGCTTTTATAAAAAAAATGTTCATCCCTATAGGGATGGGATTTTAGTTATTTTACCTTTTTTTAACCGATGTAACTATTTGAAAACCAATAATGCCAAAATGTGTTTTAAAAGATTTTCTTTTATATGAACCTAACTTGTTTTCACCTTTTTTACCTTTTTTGGAGGTTTTTGCTTTTAACTACCTTTTTTATACTTTTGTTACCTATTTTTTTAACTTTTTTTCACCTTTTTTACCTTTTTTGGAGGTTTTTGCTTTAAACTACCTTTTTATACTTTTGTTACATATTTTTTAATTTGTCAGTTTATTTTCATATACCTATTTGTTACCTATTTTTACGTATTTTAACTTATTTTATTTTTTTTGTTCTTTTTAAAATTTGCGCCAATATTTTATCCAGGGCGTGCAACTCAACGGTATAGAATATTTTCTTATGGTTACAGACTGTAACAGTAACTTTCTTTACTGTTACCTTCTTTGTAGTGACTCACTGTCATAGAACTTCTGTGTAGTGAGTGTCACTCAGTAAAACACAGTTTATTGCATATAAATAGTTTATTGTGGGTATGTTCTGTGTTTGGGTATGCGGTAAACAAAATTATAAACGAAACAAACTTTTAATTTTTTTTTTACCTAAAATGCTGTTTTTTTAACCTAAAATGCTTTTTTAGTACCTTTTTAGTTACCTATTTTTCAGTTTTTAGTACCTAAATATCCCATCCCTAGGCATTCCAATGATAAATTTAAGTTAAATAATATTATTTTATTAATCGCTTACAATAGTATATTAAAGAACTAATGTCATAAGACGTCATTTTGTCGCACGCGGACAATTTATAAAACGAGCGACGAAGGAGCGAGTTTTATAATGGACAAGTGCGACAAAAGGTCTTATGACATGAGTTATTTATGCTATTTTATCTATTTTGCAAACATTTCATAAAACAAATTAATTTTATACCTTATATTTAATTTGGTCGAATTTTACTTTACATAGTTGGTATCTCAGTTTGAAGTTTAAAAGGTCATTAACCTTTCAAACATTATCACATTCTTTCGCTATGGCGTCGTTAATTTACAATAAGTATTTACAATAAGCGGCTGTTAAAGAAGAAAAAAGGATTTTCTTTGGTGTTAAACAAAATTTATTGCACGAAAAGTCTCGTAAGTACTAGAAAACAAATCATAAAAATATTATAACCTATAGGTATTCAAAATTGTATTTTACCAGTAGCCAACCTATAAAATCAAAATTTTGGGTGGAATAAAGTACCTCATTAAAGAACCAAAAGCGGTGTTATAATGAAGTCATTATGAAACCAAAATAGATAAAATTAGTTTCATTTTCAGTGCATGTACATTTTTCTGAGTGTACTTATTGGGATTGTCACTGTAATCTAATGTTATAATGTTATAATTTTCAGTGCATGTACATTTTTCTGAGTGTACTTATTGCGATTGTTACTGTAATCTAATGTTATAATGTTATAATTGTGTACATAAATATTATAATTTATGGTACAAGATGACAAAACTTTGTTGAGTTTTTTACAACAATTACTAAAAAAATATTTCTCCAAATTGTGCTAAAAATGTGTTAAACACTGCCATCAAAAATTACACAATATTTTGTGGTTATTATTCATTCAAGCAACGACCAAAATTCACTTCAGCAAATTGTGGCATATTATAAGGCTATATTTGTACATTACCTATAAAATTTTGTTGCATTTTTTAATGCAACCATATAAATTTGTTCATACAAATCGTCGATATATTTTTGAGGGGTTGGATGAGGGGATGCAAAAAAGCCAAAAGCACTGTAAAATAATACTAGTTTTATTACTGTCTCGTATAAAAATCAACATATTGGTCTTAAAAATAAACTTAAAGCTAAAAATGCAGTATACATGCCTTACAGCTTTAAAATAATTAACTATTTCAGTGACGAATAAAAAAATAAATATTACACATGTAGGTGTTTTGGAACGCCCTTATATTGCTCCATTCAAAAATGTACAAATATATCTATATATCTATATCTATCGCCTTCATAATAGATATATCTATTATGAAGGCGATGCTCCATTGTTTTGGTTCCGACATGTTCAAATACTATCGGTTCACTTCCAGTTGCTTCGATTACCTAAAAAAATAATTATATAGGGTTGTCCAAAAAAACTTTTTTCTAATGAAGGGAGTTTTTAATTTTTTTTGTCCATTCATTTTTGAGTGGAATGAACCCTTTTCTAGTTTTTCGATTTTGTAAATTGTTTTTACTAAAAATGCAGTGTTGTTTTTTATTTTTATAGCAAAAACGCATTTATACGTATAGAATATGAAATTTACTTACTTTTAAACTCTTCGATAAGAATTTTAAAACACCAATCTTTCAATAAATCTGCCACAAACTAATCCATTGCTCTTTTCGCAAACAACACAAATTATTTTCACCCATAATATAACTAGTGGTATGATTATCATCGATGATATTTTCGAATTGAAACCGAGCTGCAGATTTCACGAGTCCGCAGGACGAGTGAAATGTGCTGCTTCGGTTTTAATGAGTAAATATCATCGATAATTAATCATACCACGAGTTATATTTAGTGAGAAAATATAATGAATTTTAGGATTTAACGAATTTTTAGTTTGACATTTGAAATTAAAATGTGCTTTAAAATATAAAAAGACTTTAATAAACCTTATTTATTCAAACTTACCTTAACTTTATTATCGTTTACACCAACCCATCGATCTTTTAGAGTTTATAATTCATTATTTTAATCATTTAGGTAACAAACACAGTATTTAAATGACAACAAATGTCAAATCAAAAAAACGTCAAAGTTCATAGTAAAGCTTAATTTTCATGTATCCGTTTGTCCGTCAGTCCGTTCATCCGGGAGCGCTCTTATTGGTCCAATTATAATTCGAAAATTATGACATTTTATCGGTCCGTCAAGTTTCAACTTCGTACGTCTGACGGAGAAAGGTTAAATAATTTTTACTCATCCGTCACTAAACATCTGTTGTTGACGCCTAACGTTATTTTAAGATAATTTATTTTCAAATATATTTATATTTTTTCAATAAGATTGTAAAACGAAAATATTACGTTCGTTATGTGAATAATGTTTTACTGTTAAGTTTTTATTTAATAAGAATAACGAAAAAAAAGAAAGGACAAACAAAAAAAATTAAAACTAGAACTAAAAGGACCTGCTTTTTTAAAACTATACATTTTAATGTGTATTAGGGCTAGTATATTCTTTTTATAAGGTATATTTACCTACCTTTAAATTTATTAGACAGCTAACTGTTAAAGTTTCAATTGTTGACATAATTGTAACTATGACAATTAAGCATTAGGTAAATTTAGTAAGTGAATATACTGACACTTAATTTCTATTTGTCGCAAAATCAATCCGTTAAACGTCATTAAAAAACGGATGCATGAAAATTAGAACATTTCTTATCGGACGATTTTATTGAAAAACTGACATACGGATGACGGACAAACGGATACATGAAAATTAAGCTTAACGTGTAAACAAGATGATAAAAATTATTGCCGCTGTGATAAAATACGTCACTATGGAATACTGGCATTTTATTGGTTCTAATATTAATGAATTATATTGTCCCGTCAATTTTGTCTTGTTTACATTGGGGTAAATAGTTCTGACCGCTACCTACACTTAACCCAAGATAAATGTTTAGGCACTTAACTAAGACTCAACTGCAATTATATTTCTATAAAGTACACCGGCCAGAGTACACAGAATAACCTTTAATCAATCAATCAGAAAATAATTTTTTTACTACAAACAACTTGATTTAAAACTACCACAGTGTGGTAACCTCACTTGCACACATTTATCACACAACTTGCGAATAAGTTGGGTTGTAGTATTACGCGTTGGTATTGTTGCATTCTTTATCCAAGACTAAATGCATTATTGCTACAATTTGTTTATTTCTTGTTTTACACAAAGAATGCAAATCTTTAGAATGGGGTTAGTTGTTTCTTTTAACATTACCAGTACATTTTATATTAGTTGAAGTGGTACAAAATATTTAAGACGTTACTTTTTTGACCACACTAATTCTCAACTATTGATTAAATAAAACATCGATTTTAAAAATTATCTTTATTTAACCTATGTTATTTCATATTTATAAAAATATACAACAGACAGCAATTTCAAATAAGACAAATCACTAAAAAATTTAAATTAAAAATACATATACTTAGAGTAAAACCTAAAAAAGAAAAACAGTATTAATAATTAAACTAAAATATTATTATATTATACAGGGATAATCGTTAAAATCCCACTGCACAGACTTTAACGGCGGCCATTTTTATGTTAAAAATTCTTGTGATTTGGGTTTGTACTGTTTATGCAGATTATAAATATTTTTAAGCGTTGTATTTCTTACAGAGGCACTGGTAAGCCTCAAATGAGGCCTTAAATTGCCAAGAACAACCATTTTACTCCTCTTTTGTAAAAAAATAAACCCCATTCTATGTCAAATGTCAATTTTAATTTTAACTGACACGGTGCACAGTGTTTCAATTCTGGAAAATATCGGCAAAACCTCAAAAATTGATATTTTTTTTCAGGTAAATTTTGAGTTAGATGGGTACCTAGTTAATACCTGTCTCCATCCTGTATTGAAAAAAATATATATAAAATACGTATATTTTCTCTTGTACATCAGTTTAAACTTGACGCTTTCAGTTGAAGGTACTTTACACGCGATCGCTGCGGAAAATTGTTTATTGTTTAAAAGTGAATAACTTGTGTTTGGTGTGTTCGATTGTTATGCGGTTTGATGAAGGGTGATCTTCAAGATATCTAAAATTTAGATATGTATTTGTTTTTCGTAGATTTTGCTTGTACAACGGGTTATTGTAACCGACAAGATCGGTCTGTTAAAATCGCAAACTTTGAATCGAGCTTTTAGAACAATGGAGCTACAAAAATTGTAATGAATTGTAAGGCATCAGTTCAAGATCTGTTGAATAGCTTAGAGTTTTGTCTATCAAGCCATCAATAAATTAGCTGCCCCAACTTGCCCCCGGCTCTTTAAAACTACATGTTCTTGGGCGCTCAGGCACGGTTGTGGTAAAAAACATCGCGATTTTAAGCCTATGTCGAGCGCGTATCTGTGTTTTTGCTTTACAAAATATAAGATTTTTTTATTTTTGGGTTGCGTTTATGACGTTTACTCGATTCACTCGGATTTAACTCAAAACGTTTATTACAACAGCGGTGTCTAGACTTTCACCTGCGTAAATCGTTTGTGACTACTAAGATATTTAACACCGATTTTACATATTTAACCCACCTCTTGTAGGTGCGTTAAAACAACTCCGCATGCGCATTGTAGTGTGTTAATGTCAAATTTGAATTGTGGTTATTTGTGTTGACAATTTTTTTAGCGAATTAAGAAATCGTTGCTAAAATATTAAGTAAAAGAAATAATACAAATTTAAAATACTTAGTATAAAATCTGTTATGTTTAAATTTTATAAATAAATTTTGAAAACGATGGAAGATGTTTTCCATTGGCTTATGGCATCTTCCGATCCGTATATTTCTATATAGGTTCAGAAAAATTGCTACGAAAAAGAGCAAATCTTTGTCCCGCGAAGCAATAAAACTGTTGCTATCTTCTGATGGTTTCCCATGCTCTGCTAATGATACAACGAGTGAATCCAGTGACGGAGATTGTTTAATATATATGTAGGTATTAAATAATATCATATAAATGTAATTATAATAAACTAAATTAAGCTATTTTATAAAAAGATGTTTTATTACATTTTAAAAAGAACCTCTTACGGATTTTTAATTAATTTCGACAATATTTGATAAAAATGTCGGCCATTTGAGGTCTACCATTTTGAATTTTGGAATTCTGATTCCAGATTCATTATCAGCGACCAAAAAAAACCCTGTATGGTGATTTTCAATTAATTCCGTCAATTTTTTGACAAATATGTCCGCCATTTTTGATCTACAATTTTGAATTTTGACATTCTGATTCCAGATTCATTATCAGCGACCCCAAAAAACTTTGTATGGTGATTTTCAATTTATTCCGTCAATTTTTTGACAAATATGTCCGCCATTTTGGATCTACCACTTTGAATTTTGGAATTCTGATTCCAGATTTGTTATCATCGACCCCAAAAACCTCTATATACGGAGTTTTAGGAGAATCCGACTACTCCTTGATATTTTGCCGAAAATTTTGAGAATTGAAACACTGTGCGGTGGTTGGTGCGTTGATTTATTTAGTTTAATGAGCGAAATCATTATTTTCATAGAAACACAAAAAGGGGTCCCATATTTTAACTTACACACAATTTATATTTATTCTCCCGATAATTGAGAGGCTCTTTTATCCTTATTAGCCCATAGAAGCCGTTCAGTCCAGTCAAACGTCTCATCATCCGTGTACCCTTTTTTCGTGTAAAGGTCCCGAAATAATTTTCTCAAGTATTCATAGTCCGGCTGTTCGTAGAAGTCCAAACGTCTTACGTATCTAAAAAAAAAATGTTTATCAGACGAAAACTTCATGTACTACTACTACTACCGTAGATATGTCGCTATTTCTTCAGGGTGTCCCTCGCAAAGCGTTTCAATGGTTGTATTCCTTTTGGTGTCGCCGATTTTCTGGTACCTTTCCTTCAGCGTATCCGCTTTGAGGCCTTGCCATGGAAGTGAACCCCTCAAGAAATAAATAAACATGTGACCCATGGCTTCCAAATCATCGCGTCTGGATTGTTCTCTGCCTAGATGGGTGTTAATGCTCATGTAACGTGCTGTTCCAGTTAAAGACTTGTGCTCTCTAAAATATGTAATGTTATTTTAGCGAATTTCTTTATCAAACATTACCTGTATGGTATATGCTTCCCAGAATCAGCATCTATGTACTCCTTGGCCAAACCAAAATCAATGATGAACACAACTTTATCCTTTTTAGCTCTGGATCTTCCAATCAAAAAATTCTCAGGTTTGATATCTCTGTAGATCAACGTTTTTGTGTGAACGTATTCGATTCTGGTGAGGAGTTGGTTCGCAATCATCAGCACAGTCTTAAGACGAAATCGGCGGTTGCACAGCGTAAACAAATCTTCCAGGCTTGGCCCCAGAAGTTCCATCACCATGGCGTTGAACCTGCCACCGCATGTGCCCAGATGAAATACTTTTGGAACACCTAGATCAAGTTTCTAAGGTTCTAAGCTTGTCTATACCTGATAGTCCCCAAAATACAAATTGTAATTTAAAACACGTATTTCAAGCTAAAATTTTCACTCCATTTTATGAGATTTTGGAGGTTTTTAAGATTGTAACAAACGCTATATTACAATTTTTATTACTTTTGGGACCAAATGTACAAAAAAGCTTACCCTCCTCATTTCCCAACATCTTGTAAAACCTGTACTCCAAATGCAGCTGTGGAGCTTTGGACTTGATAGGTTCCAACTTGATGGCAACGTGCTCGTTGTTGTAGAGATTTTTCCCCAACCTGAGCTCTCCGAAATTGCCGCTGCCAATTTTTTTTCCCACCCTGAAATTTGGGCCGACCATTAGGACGCCAGACGAGGTCGATTGTCTCGAGTTCATATTGGACGAGGCGCGACGCGCTTCTAAAATTAATAAAGAGCGGATGTGTATGCGAAAAGTTTTTGATGTTGGTTCAGTTTCGGACTGCAAAGAGTTTACCAAATGCGCGAAGTTTCAAGGTATTTTGCATTTAAAACAGGGTGTTTTTTGGCATGGATATTAATTATAATTTTGATATGGACTATGTGGCAAGTTTTAGCAAATAGACCAAAGAATTTAAATACCAAATTTGGTAAATTTATCTTTTTTATTTTAGAGGATATTATAGAAAATATAACATCATAAGTTTGATATAAAACCCCTTAACAGTTTGTATTATATCTATTATATATATCATGTTATTGTTAACCTCATTCACTGAATAAACTTTACAACAAAGCCCATGTATAATAGAATGTAACAAACACACCGAAAAAAAATAATGGAATATAGTATCTTCTTACGAAATAATTGGATTTACCCAATTTTCTTTTTATACATTTTCTTTCCCTTTGCCATATTTTGTAGTGAATCAATAAACAACCAAGAAACAGCTCGTTTATTTTTTAGATAAATTTGTTTAGTCGATTTGAAAGGCTCTGTGTACCTGTTTGCCTACCATTGTTGACTCAGAATGATGTTTTTTAAGAAAAAGTCGTAAAAATATATCGACACAGTCCGCTCTGTATTAATTTTGTAGGATATTTTATTTTCTATTAAATTGTGCCTTTTATTTATAAAACCGAATAAGTCCACAATTTTTTTGCTGTTAAATTGTATTATATTGGGAATATATATAGGTATATATATATATTTTTTTTTAAATTGGGTTTAGCTAGAGGCACTGTACATTGTTTTAAGACGCCGTCTTTAGGTTAATAACGAATAAGTTAAGTAGCTACAGGTCTATAGGGTCTACTGGAGCATCCAGGTGTGACGAATCTGTGACTAGCCAGAAGCAAGAATGTTGTACAAAGCTGAAGTTCAAGGCAGCTTTATTAAGCATTCATTGTATATAAAGAACATCGTTGTTAAATAGATGTTTACAACGATGTTATTGGTCATGACCTTGAAATTAAACCATTTCTTTCATTAAACTTTTGGTATGGAAGAAATGGGAAGAAGAAAACAATGTACAGGGTTAACAATTATTTTACAGAGATTGTTTCAAGTAAATTGTTTAAAAAAGGATTTATTCGGTTTTGAAACTGAGGCTATTGAATGAATTACCGAAAATATTGCAGATATTTATTAGCGTTGACTGCTGTGCTAAAAGCAGTCTTCGTCACATTTGGTATCATCCTTGACAGCATTTTGTTGTTATTTTTCTTCGGTTTTCTGTCTTACCTTCAATGAGATGCCCTTGACTGTGATCGTTATTGGTTATATTACGTTCACTCTTTCCAATGAACTTGTATTTCAGAAAGTTCATTGTATCAGAACATCCAAGAAGAATAGACAGCCCTAAAACAAAATTGCTAAATCTTCCAGGGACCGTAATACCTATTAAAACTATTTGAAAACCACTCAAATACAATGTAATGAAGGGTCAACTTTTCAACTTAAACGAAATATGTAAATTACTTACTTTGACTGTCCAGCTTTATTGCATTGATAACATAAGTTTAATGAAAGATTGCATGAAAAATCATAGCGAACAAAAATTTTGATGCATGACTTAACTGACGTTGACAACTAACAATAATGTCAAAGTTGACCGAATTTTATTGTTCATCTCACAAATTGAAAGAGCTTGAAGGCCAAACTTTGAACCTGATATTTCGATCTTTACAAGACCCTCTTGATGGCTGAATGAAAAGAGGTCATCGATCAAGCTTCTGATCATCAGAATATCAAAAACTGAAAATCAACCTTTTTTAAAAAGTTACATATTTAATGAGGCTAAAAGCTTTAAAATAAAATTGCGTGTAACAAATAACTCATACCAAAACATTATCAATTTAGTACTTGGTTAAAATGCGCTAAGTAAAAAGATAAATCGCCGTTAATTGTTTGGGATTCGTTAAAAGCCCCATTAGCACTTTAGATATAAATTTAGAAAAAAATATATATATATATATAAAACGGTGTGAATAATGCTCGGGGGTATTTTCATTCTGTAATTGATGTTTTAAATTATTTTATGAGCAATTTTTATTAAAAGCATTTCTATTATGATATTTCTGCCCATGGGCTAAGAATTGAACCAAGAGTTTTTAAAGGCGTCTTAAATCCTACACTGTTAAAAATGTAAAATTACTACATTTTTACTAAGCATTTGCATAGTAAAATTACAAAATGTTGTATTGTACCTATTGCAATTTTAATACGCATTTGTTGTAATATTACATTTTGTTATAGCCAAAGTACTAAACAGGTTCCAATTGTACAATGTTTTTGATTTTGTCAGATTATCTGATACTATACATAGGTATTCGAAATTTAATTTTTCGATAATCAATAAAATTACTAACCAAAATTTGCTATTTGAATTGCAATAAGTGTTTGGAAATATACAAATCATTATTTATTTTATACAACTTCTGTTTGCCTTTATATATCATTTTAATCATGTAGGTACACTGTTAAATTTTTTTGTAAAATTACAAATTACAAAACAAAGGATGAGTAAAATTACAAATCACCAATACAAAATTATAATACAATTTGAGTTATTTTGAGAAAGATAAGTTGTACTATTACAATCTATAAATCTTAAACGCATTGCAATTTTAATAAACAGTTTGACAATTTCTAATAACAAACGTTGTTTGTAATTTGATTTGCTGTACTGTTATGTAAAAAGCATATTATGTACCGATTGCGGCTATCACGTTCTTACATCTCGCCTCGGTTGACTTAGGTGGACAGTATATAAGCTTAGGTGTCTATTGTTTTTGTGTGTTCCAATACACCAAATTGCCCGACATTGATAAGACCCAAAATAGGTCTATTTGTCTGGCTATTTGAAGTTGGTGAAACGCACTTAAAACATAAACTCTGGCAAGGTGAAGGTTCAATTTTTTTAATCTTTGCAGTAATGGGTCAAGAAAGTTTCTTGAAGAAAAGGTTTTTTTTTCGTAGTATAATTACAATACCATCATTCGTAAATATTTTTAGTGTAATTTGTTGTACAAAATAATAATATTTGTATTGTAATATTGCGAAACGAATTTTCTTCAGTTTAGTAAAATTGTAAAATATATTTTGTAATTTTGTTGAAATAAATTTTATAGTATAATTACAATACACCATTTTAAAATTATATTTCATATTTAGTACTTTTAAAACAAAATTACAATACCTGTATAGTTATGTTACTGAACAAATTTTTAATAAATGCTTAGTGAATTTTAACAAACGTTTTGTAATTTTCCCAAATTGAATCGTGTAGTGAAGTTACAAAACTGAGTTTTATTATTACTATATTGTGGTGCGTAAAAACTTCCTAAACATGTTTAGTAAAATTACAATAGAAATTTTTAACAGTGTAGAGTTTTCTAGAATTAAGGCAAATCTAAGCAAAAATTATGATAATGACATAATAAATATAAATTTAATAAAATTGTGCCACTAATAAAAAACTCGATTCTCCTTTGAGAATTATAAATCATTTACAATTCAGTTTAAAAAGAATAAACTTTTTAATTAATGGCATTTCGCAAATCCTTTTATTAATTATCGGATTTATAAGAATGAAATAATTTCTGAAATTAATTAAAAAAGTTGGAAGCCAAAAAAATGTAATTTGAATTTTTTGCATACCAAACAATTTAAGGAAGAAATTTAGCTGAAAGTCTTTAAAGTGATTGTTTCGGCATTTTAATTTGTATTTCTTTGAATATTAACAAAATTATTTTTACTGAAAAAGATTTAAGGCAATCCAGGGACTTTTTGAATTCTTTTTTATGTAAATTAGATAATGTAAATTTAATGGTTTAAAATACACAATACGCAATAAGGGGGAGATATTAAAATTTCCCCAAAGAGCGTACACTGTTAAATCAGATTTTTTAACATGAGTTTGTTGTTTGTTAATTTTATTTTGTTAAATTTTAACATAAGTTTTTGTATAAAACCAAGGTTTGTAATTATTTTAACAAAGGAAAATATTTTACCTAAAGTTTTGTAAAGGTAATATGTAATTTTGTAAGCATTTTGTTAATTTCAAAGGTTACAGATTATTTTGTTAATGTTTAACAAATTATTTCGTAAAAGTACACGTGGTTTCAGGCAGTCAATCAAAACATTTCTCACTGACAATACGCATCAACAAGTTCAACCGACTTCAGCGTCTGCAACTTATGTTTCTGCTTAATTTATAATAGTTTTTAACGTGTTCTTAACAACTGTCCAGAGTATTTAAAATATATTACCAGAAATCTGTTATAATTTTTATTCAGATTCCTTTAACCTATTTAACGAGTATGCAAAGTGCGAAGTATCCGAAAAAAGATGCCATCACTGGTTTTCAAACTGAAATTAGTGGGTTAAAGTTAGGAAATACATCAGTAAGTGTTGCAGTAGTACTAATAATTATATTGTACCAAATTTCTTTATAATTTGATGATTTCAGAATGATGTGTTATTTAATTGTGTGTATGTTATTTTTGTGTTCATTTCTTAATTTTCTTGTTTAGGAAATTGATTAATAAAGCAACATTTCTTATCAAAATTCCCAATTTCCAACAAATACTTACTGTGTCCACAACAAGGTTTGTAAAAATAAGGTTTTTTGAAAATTAAACGAATTATGGTTGAATTATTGACATAGGATTTTGTTATTAAATCTACAAAATGTTTGTTGTAATTACAAACTACTTATTCAATTAGTTAACTAATTACAGTTGGTTGTTAACTTAACATAAAATTATGTGGACCTGGATTAACATAAAATCTGGTAATTATTTGGTTAAAATTAACAAAAAAATTTTTACGGTGTAATATAGAAATCATTCGAGTTTATTTATTGATCTATCAAGATATGACATCATAGTTAATACTTGTGGTAATGTATTGCATTTCGCACGTAATTCGGCATTTGGTGGCATCCGTAGTTCTTGGGGAATGCGGCCATGTTTATCGTACGCGTTTTCGCTGGAATTTCTGGAATGACAGCGATTTCTTTGTGTCAAAAGGCAGGAACGTTTTCTGCCCGATTGTCCGTCATAGACGACGCTAACCGAGGTTGATGACTTTATCAACCCGGGAATCTGTGAAGGCTGGAAACAGAGGGAATGTTATTTGAATGTTGTGTAGAGTGAGGTAGGATATTAAGCCGCGATTGTGTTTTCCATACTGAGACGGAAACGTTCATTTCAGAACGTTAATGAAAGATATTGGTGGCCATCTCGCCATCACATTGAGCTCACCTATGACGTTTATATAATACATCATCTCGTGTGCATATTGAGCTCACATAATGAAGATCATGTGATGAATGAAATCACCTTGTGTTATCTGGGATAATAGGGTCAGAATACGTGAAATCAGCAAAGTTACTGAAATCCCCAAACAAAACCTTATCATTCTTGAACCGATAAAGAATTGTTCATTTATCTTATTTAAAAATTCATTTTTTAATCAAAATTAAGATTGTGAAACGGTTAGTCTTTCCTGTTATAATATTAAATTCCTTGTCTGAAATGATAATAAATTATCCAGGATTTATCGGTATTAAACTGTCTTTAAAGTAATTAATTACTTCACACACGTAATGAATATAAATTAAGATTTTCCTCAGAGATACTTTAAGCATTTCAAAAGGTGGGTTACAATTAATTTTAATAAGAATAATTTTAGAATTATATTTCAACACCAACATACAATGCAATTTATCAAATTTGGAAAGAACTTGAGCACTATCATTTAAAAACAGATCTAATGTTTTATTTATTTATAAATCGTTGTAGTATTCATTTTTCAATTCACCAATAGTTGCTTGCCGTTGATTCATGAGAGACCGTATAAGATTGATTCAATTTTTAGAAATGTTTGGAGCCGTTTATGTTCAAGTAAAAATATCAGGTTAAAAGAGAAACAGAAAATAATCCATCGATTCCATGATAAATTGATATTTCCAACGTAATAAATAAAAGATTTATGTTATTCTTACTCGAGTGTGCCCGATGGGTTTTAGAAATATAACGCGTTTGCTATTAAGGGATTCTTTTTAAAAATTATACATTAAATTACAATTTACAAAATGAATTGCCACAATAAATCTTGCTTCATTTTTGTATGAAATACTTTGGCTTTATTGTTTCAGTGCCAGTCTCTGTAATGGAAAGCGAGCTATCAAATAGTTTGGAGGATAGCTCCGATGAAGATATGCCGGTGATAGAAGACGATATTACAACACATGGTTTGGAAAGGCTCAGCTCTGCAGCTACGTGTCTGGTGGCTGGTGTGGAATACACGCATGGACAACAGGTAATAAAACAAATTTATTAAAACTCCCATTTTGACCAGGAGCTAGGTGGTCAGCTAACATAACCACCACAAAAAATTATAAATTGTTCGCAGTTTAAAGTATACCAATATTATGAAATTAATTAATACATTTTTATTAAAACACCTCCAATCAATCAAAACCAAAATCAAATCAAAACAAAGTAATTAATAAAGCCGACCCAAATTGACATTGATAAATTAACTATTCTGCCTAAAATAACAAAAAATATAAACA